TAGGGTGTTGTAGTCCCAGAACCCATATTAGGTTATAAAACAAAACAATGAAAAGTATTTGGATCAACTAGCCATAAGCGCCGTATTCGTTCGCTCAAGATTCCGCAACTCCTGTTCGAATCCTGATGAACGTGGTGGAGCCAAAACAACACGTGCTTCTTGATTAGCAGCAGCTTGTAAAGCCTAAAATCCAGGCATCAAACTAAATACCATTGAGCGCACCCCTCCAAACGAACCTGAGTAAAAGCAGTTGGAGCCATTACACCAAAGGTGGTCGTTGTTGATCGGGAATCACCATGTAGTCGAATCGGTCCTCCGTTAGAGTCTTGCCTGTCCATCAGTGTGATCGGTCGAACTACAGCTGCTTCTGGGGAGCGAGCAGATGAAGGGGTGCTATAGCTGGGAGGTTTCACGTAGCCGATGGTACTTCCATTTGGAACTGATGAAGGTGACGAGGGGCTTCTAGGATTGTATCGAATCACAGGTACATTGCGGGACTGCTGTTGACTATAGTTTGAACTGGGGTTTTGATAATTGGAGCGACTGAGCGGAGTGGGAAGAGAAGCTGAGTAATTTGTGTTGATAGGAGGAAGATTCGACATGTTTGTCGGCATTCGATGCTCTTCGCGAGGAGATGAGTGTGCTGCTGGTGGTGAAGAGGTTTGGCTCTGAAAGTTTTTTTTTTTTAAATAAGAGATGATTAACAGAGAGCTTCATTTAAACTTCCAAGGTCCCCTACAAAACCTCAAAACAATTTATGGCTGTTTTTTCCGACAAAGTTATCTTCACACCTTGCAGTGACTTACATGACTTACTAATCATACTTCAAGGAAATTACATAATACCTGCCAATAGCGATAAAACAATCAATAGTAAAGATTCAATTAATTCTTCCACTTGATTCAGATAAAACCGCATCCTCAAAGCTACCAACAGCTTTTGTTGTATAGCTGTGGTGATTTTGAAAATCCATTGTTTGGAAAAATAAGTGATAGGATAGATTTGGTATAGAAAATTCTAGTAAAAGACAAAGTCTTACCGCCTTGTAAAGATCATGATTGCTTTCCCTCAAACCAGCACTACTGTAGCCTTGTTGCTGAAGTGGATTAGGTGATCTGAACAAGCAACTAGAGATACTAATTAACGCGAAAATACATTATGAAACGTCCCTAACAC